CAAACAAGATTTTATAACAATAATTTTTTTTATTGTTCCTAACAAACTATGTTGACCAAGTCTATTATTGTCGATTTGTTTTAAGTTTAAATAACAAACTATGTTTACCAAGTCTATTATTGTCAATCTGTTTTAAGTTTAAAGGTAATTTCCTTATGACCAAAGGTATATTTGTCAACAAGAGCACATACTCTACAAATTTTAATTTCTTTCATGAATCTTATATTCTTATTTATGCAGATTATCATTCCAATTATACCGTCAATCATAAACACTTTTCAAAATAATTATATGTATATTTATTATGTTTCAATATATAGAATGCAGACATTTATAATTAAATCGTTTAATAAGTAAATATTATCTTTAAATCTTTTCAAAATCATGTACCCTTATTAATTTAGAAACAATCATTTAATTTAATCTTATTAAAAAGGTTTTAATTCATCTATTTTTGATATATATTTTTATTTAATATAAAATCATGACACATGTTTTCTAATTATATCTCTATGTTTGTTAACCAACTTTAATTCGTCATTATCTTCACCAATATTCTTTAATTTCATTCTTTGTATTATAGATGCTTCAACAACTCTATTTGCTAGAGGTGTTGGCAAAACTTTTATTTCCATATGTTCAGCAAATGGACATTGCTTACTTTTGATTTATTACCATATCACATTAGACAAACCTCACAATTGCAGATGCGTTCATTAAAATTAGTAAGATATAAGTTTTTTTAGACTGTTATACTAATTATTTTAAATTAATATATACTTTTATTTTAATATTTGATATATGTTATGTATGTCAGGACATTTAATAGAATTATGCCCTATAGAACATAATATAATTTTAAGATCCATTTATAGGTTAAAATCTATGTAATACACATGTTGATAACATAAATGAGCAAAAATAACAACATACTTTGAAAGTATGTTGCTATAAATAACAAAAATTGTTCATGTTACTATTTTTGTTAATAATTTTTTTATAGTTTTTAGAACTCAATAAAATTATATATTTCGGGACATAACCCTAAAATAACAATCAAAATTATATAGGTTTTGTTAATAACCCTAAAATAACAAAGTATACTTCCAAATTATAAAAAAAAAACAAATAATATCTAAATAATAAATTCCAAAAATGTTTGTATGTTTTTTATACGTTCCTCCGCGTTTAACGTATGTGATAATCTAGTTACTCTCGTTAGGAAACCATGGTTTTGATTCCTTTAGACATTTTTCCCTTTGTGTTTTGTTTACTATAAATGCGAAATACAATTCAAACCTTACTTCTCTCAACTTTATATAATTATTCGAACCTCTCAACCAATTTTATGGTCCTTTGCTAAAATTAAAAGCATGGTCTTTGAGAGTGTCTTTTTCAACATTTCTGTAAAGAACACCCTAAAGAAAAAGGAAAGTGAAAATGTCCGAAAGAAGCCACCGATCTTGTCTTTTCATTTCAAGCTTTTATATTGAAATCTTGGAGTCAAGTCCGGACAAATAGTTACTAGTCGTCATACCACCTAATGCCCATATTGTACCATCACAATAATTCACAATAATTCACTCACATTAAAAGTAAATAAGTGTAGTATAAATAAACGAGACCAAATTTGTAAGAGTCAAGATGTGTAAAACATTTATTTATCAAGTAAATTATAAATAAACCAATACAATCTTAGTTTATTTGAAAAGTTTGTAGATAAATCCAAATGGTTTGTTGAGTTACTTAAAACAAAAGGTAAAAAGAAAGAAAAAACAAATTACAAGTTATTTTTTATTTATAAAATCCCATTCCCCTCCATAAAATCTCACCATCATCCACCCCACGCACACAGTAACCCACCTTCTACACACACACAGACAAATGAAGATGGACAAAAGAGTCAAATTTAATATCTGCTGCTTCTTGTTCGTATTACTATCATCCATCTTCGTAAGTTCTTCACATTTGGCTTCTTCTTCTTCTTCTTCGATTAACTTGTCTTTTACCTTAATTTGTTTGCTCTTACTCATTTAATTCATGCATGCAGGTTTCCATAGTCGAGGCTACCCCTCCTGGTGTTGCGAACTTGAGTAAATCAAATCCTTTTTCCCCTAATTCCTCTATAATTCGTTACTGGAAAACCCAGATCTCCAATCGTTTTCCGATCCCTTCTTTTCTCCTTTCCAAAGCTTCACCACTCTCACCTTTCGAATTCTCATTATTCACCAAATTAGCTTCCAACCACTCTCTTTCGTCTCATCTTTCTTCCTTCTGCTCCTCCGCCGACTTATTCTGTTTCTCCGATCCCACCTCCATTAATTCCGGTCGTCTAAAAGACACCAACTTTGCTGTTTACGACTCCAAACGTTTCTCCACCTACGGCTCCTCCCAAATTGGCGGCGCCGACACTTTCAAAAACTACTCGGAAAACATTAACTTTGCATCCAGTGGTTTCGCCAGATACAGCGGCATATCCACCGGCCACCATGAAGGATTCACCTCCTACGCGACTGACGCCAACGTCGCTAACTCAAACTTCACCAGCTACGCCACCGATGCCACCGGAGGTAATGGCGATTTCACCTCCTATATGCCACGTGTCAATGTGCCTGATCTCCGGTTTGCATCCTACTCAGCCAACGGAAACAACCATGCCATGTCGTTCAAGAGCTACGTCGACGACACAAACTCCGGGAACCAGCAGTTCATGAACTACGGTAAAAATGGGAACGGAGTTCCGGTGGGGTTCACCGGGTATGGTGACACGTCGAATGTAATCGGGTCCACTTTTTCTCACTATGCTGATCTGGCAAACGGTGCGAATGATACTTTCAAGGCGTATTCATCAAATGCAAATAACCCAAAAAACGATTTTAAATCATATGGTGGTAATAGTGGAAATGCCGGGTCGGATTCTTTTGTGAGTTATCGAGATGGAGCGAACTCGGGTACAGACACATTTCTGTCATACGGTAGAAAATCAAATTCGGGCAAAACAAATTTTGTAAATTATGGAAAATCATTCAACCCGGGTTTCGATTCGTTTAGAGAATACGGTAAAGGATCCACGGGTCAATCTACCGGTTTTAGTATCTATGCTTTGAATACCACATTCAAAGACTATACCAAAACTGGTGTCACATTTGGTCAATACACAAAACCCGGGTCGAAAACGGGTCCTACCAAGGTCAGTGGCAGTTCGGCAAATAAATGGTCAGAGCCGGTTAAATTCTTTCGGGAGAAAATGTTAAAGAAAGGGACCGTTATGACAATGCCTGACATTGTTGACAAAATGCCTAAACGGTCGTTTTTGCCCCGGGCCATCACGTCGAAATTACCGTTTGCCACTGACAAACTATCTGGTGTGAAGGAAGTTTTCCAGGCGCGGGACAGTTCTGTTCTGGAGCGTGTTTTAACCAACACGCTGTCAGAATGTGAGCGGGCCCCGAGCCAGGGTGAGACCAAACGGTGTGTTGGATCAATTGAAGACATGATCGATTTCGCGGTTTCGGTTTTGGGTCATGATGTTGTGGCAAGGACGACGGAGAATGTTAAAGGGTCAAAAGAAGAGGTGATGATCGGAGAAGTCAAAGGGGTCAACGGTGGGAAGCTCACTAAGTCAGTGTCATGCCATCAAAGCTTGTATCCATACCTACTCTATTACTGCCACTCTGTACCGAAAGTGAGAGTCTATGTGGCTGATATACTTGACGTGTACAATAAGGCAAAAATCAATACTGGTGTTGCAATATGTCATATTGATACGTCAGCATGGAGCCCGGAGCATTTGTGGCACTTGGGTCGGGTCCGGGTCTCATTGAAGTCTGCCATTGGATATTTGAGAACGACATGACGTGGACCACATCGGATTGAAGATGAGCACGTGTGTTTGCTTTATAATTCAGAAAGTCGTAGTAATGTTGTTGTCATGAGATTTTAGAAATTTGATTGTTGTGTAACTTGGTGTTATTGTAATGGTTTTGAAATTTTTATAAAACAGATATTGTCGGATTTTGTTAGATAGATGTCCATAAATAAAATAATGAACACCCATACTTTATTGTAAAAGAATATTTAATTGTAATGACTAATAAATGTGATGAAATGAAAACGTACTGATAACATGGACTAACACGTGATATGAAATCAAAATATATAGATAATTAAGATTATATTATACAAGATAGTACACAAAATAAATAAAATAAAACAAAATTTAGCTAAATAAAACGAGTTATATGAGTTGAAAATTGCTTATAATTAAATTTAATCTATAATTCATTAAAGAAATAAGATCTGTTCCTTTTTGAGTTTTGACCCATACTTGAGAATATCCAAGTCACTTTTACATGTCGATGTATAAAAGTAATCATTTGTATAGTTGTAGGATGGCCGAAGATGGAGTGGAAAGAGCGGAAAATTTGATGTAGAAAGAAAGATGAAGGAATAGAAGTATAATCATTCTCAACAGGTGCCACCTTTATATCCCATCTCATCTGTGTGGCCTTATAGAATTCGCTTCTCAGATTTCTACCTAATTTTTTTAGCTTTTTCATTTTGGTATTTTTAGCATGTTTACATATAATTTACCAGTAATCAACATTTTTTATAAATCACATTTGATTTTTTGTTTGCCCAACTCTTTTTTGCTTTGATTTTATGATTCACATGTGTATACAAAGTGTCCCAAAATCTTACCTTCTGTCGTATGCTTTTTGATTCTACATTTGGTTACAATTCTCATTTATGATTTATGCGTGCTTGAAGTAGGACATTAGAAGCTATGAAAAATGAAATGATGGGTGCGATTGCGTGCTGGGAAAGAAGCATACATAGGCAGGATAAAAATGATTTAGAATTGTCCTTTTGTGGTCACGCATGCTAAACAAGTGGTACACTATATCCACTTTCATCCACTAAACTTGCTCTTTATTTAACACATTCATATGTACCCCATGTTCCATTTGCGTCCAAAGGATTCTTGTAATTTGGTTGTTTTCATTAATTATTAGGATTAGGTATGAAGAAAATGCAGTTGGTGTGGAATAGAGATTTACATAAAACTTATAGGACTAATTATAGGGACCCAAATTAAAGTGTTGATATCTCGAAAAATCATGTATGTTTCTTTGCTTCAAATTAGTTGATTTGTTACTTGTCCCCTGTTACTTATTTGAAATGTTTTGGAAGTATTACCTATATGATTTGTTTGCTATATGGCATATATGTTCATGGCATGAAACTGATGTTTGGGACATGTTTTAGTATGAAAAATGTTGTATGATTTTGGAAATGTGATTTTGAAGTATCCTTACTTGTGTATTGCATGTAGGATGGGTGTTGAAAGTCCTCATGACTTTTATTACAAGTAAATGGTGAAATTCCCGTTATAAGGATCCAATATCCTTGTTTGAAGTAAAAGCTTCGTGATAGGCTTTACAACCCATTTCATGGAAGGCATGTTGAGTGGTTATATGTCTATCCTAAATTTTCTAAGGAGGATGGTGGGTAGCCATCGACAACGGTATAAGTGAGTGACTTATTTGGAATCTGTCAGACCATTGAACCCTTAGTTGTAAGGGACTTTCTAGAGAGTAGTTGATTGGGTTTGGGTTAGTTGTATATGCATTTGTATTGTTTCTTCTATGAATTTATACTAATTCAATATTTTTACCGCTAATTTGTTGAAATGATTATTAGAGATGAAATTTAACCATCCATTGATTAGATAACAAGTTCAAGAAGGACTATAGAGCATTACAAACATAAGAATAAATAAGGGATAACGACTTAAAATGTAATATATTTTTGGATTTGTACACATTTGGTCATTGAGTTTTTTTCGTTCATATTTACCCCTTCAACTTGTTAAACTGTAAATATTCAGTCATTATGACCGGTTACTCCATGTTAGCCGGGAAAAATGACTTAATTGGATAATATATTTCTCATTTTGTAGACATTTAGTCCATAATATTTTGTATACAGTTAGTCCTTAATATTTTTTTGTTTCAAAATAAGTCATTTTTGTTTTTGTACTCATTCAGTACTTATGAATGATTTCTTTAGGTTGTTTATGTTTATGTCCATTGCGATCTCGACTGCTTGGTTGCGTAAGTCTTGTGGTTTGACTTAGGTCTTGTGTTCTAAACGTTGTAACTTCTTTATACGATATCATATTTTAACGATCTTTATATCCATGCGTTCGTTTTTTGAGTCTACCACAACTTTCGTTAAGATCACTCTCGTTAAAATGTAATATATTTTTACTTACGATTTTATAAAAAAAAACATCCATACATGCATTCATAAAAACGTATGGATATAAAGATCGTAAGAAAAAATATATTATTTTTTAACGGTAGTAATCCAAACGAATGTTGTGATAGACTAAAATATGAACGCATGGATATAAAGATCGTTAAAATCTGAGATCGTATGAAGAAGTTATGACGTTCAGAATACATGACCTAAGTAATCAAGCAGTCGAGATCGTGATGGACATAAGCATCAAAAGCCCCAAACACCTTATCAATGGTTGTCCTACGTAAGATGTCGTGAGAAAAACCTAAAAAAATCATTTATAAGTACTGAATGAGTACAAAAACAATAATGACTTATTTTGCAACAAAAAAAAATATTAAGGACTAAATGTGTATAAAAATATTAAGGACTAAATGTGTACAAAGTGAGAAATATATTACTCTATTAAGTCATTTTTACTGGCTAACCTGGAGTAGCCGATCGTAAGGGCTGAATGTGTACAGTTTAACAAGTTGAAGGGTAAATGTGGACGAAAAAAACTCAGTGACCAAATGTGTACAAATCGAAAAATATATTACCATTTTAAGTCATTATACCAATAAATAAATAAATACTTATGATACTTATAATCATATTTGAGAAATACTAGGGTTGAAATGTAACGCCCGCAGATTTCGGCTAGTCAATTTAAAGACAATGAGCATTAAAAATGACTTTTTGATAGAAGGTATTTAGAGTAAATAATCTTAACCAAGAAATAGTACATGTCTCAAGGGTTCCGGAGATATAAAGAATGCCGAAATCCGAGTTATAACGAAGAAGTTATGACCTGTCGAAGTTTCGCGACATAACCGACACGACAATGGGTGACGTAAAAGGTGAGTTTACGACAAAGTGCTTTTTTAGCCTTAGTGATCTAAACGGAAGTCGTAGTGTTCGCTAAACCGAGAGCATGCGTAAAAAGAACGTCCAAATCTGACTTCGTACGAAGAAGTTATGATTTTTCCAAGTTTCGGCACAACAGTGTGCAGCCCGGAGTTCGAATTTTAGATCGAGCAATTTTTAGCAGATACAACCTAAATGAGAATTGAAGATCTCATTAATAGAAGCTCAACGATAAAAAGACAGTCGAAAACGGA